GAAAGTAGCTTTTGCCCCGAGGCAAGGGATCTCAAGGCTGTGTGGGCCCCCGGTCCCATCATCACTCTGTGCTGGAAGAGGGAGGGAAAGGCTGGACTCGAACCAATTAAAGCTGTAGGGCAGAACAGTAGTTACTCTGCTGTCATATGGAACTGCTTCGAAGACATGATTTATTTTGGATTATATTGGTTTCAACTGGTATAATATGAACTTCCTGATTTTTTGAGGATATGTAGACAAAAAGACTAAATATGGTTTTACTCATCTTTTAATTTAGGCCTACAAGTGTTTGGGTGACCTATGAAATTATTTTAATGATCTCCGCAGAACGCTGAGCTGTCAGCACTATAAATGTCATCCTAACTGGGTATTAGTTTCCATCATGGTCATTTAGTGTCACCAGCAGAGCTACCTCCATGTGAATATCTTGTCTGTGTCAAGCTGTGGGAATAAAACAGAGAGTCACTGTTGCCAAGAAGCATCAGTCAGACATCTTCATAATACTCAGTTTGAAGAGGAATGCACGAACACAAAATCTAGGAGCCCTGTGAGTGTGCAGCTTGCCCTTGGAGCTTCAGGCATAGCAGTCAGGATGATTTCCATTCAGACCCGGGCTTTTATCTCTGATCATTAAAAACGTGTTCCAGCATTGCTCATACTAGTTGACATAGACTTCCCCTTATCCTTCCTTATTTTTATAACGCTATGAAAAGTCACAGTTTAAGAAGTGCTCCGGTGAATGAGAAGTGTGACAAATTGAATTTGATACAACTTTTGACCACTGGTACAAGATGAATATGGACTCGTCACATGAGGCTGCTCTTTAGTTCTCATCGAGAAGGCAAAGAAAATGTTTGACCGGTATAGCCTGTATAGGCTATAAGGATGTATCTATGATATTGAAAATAAAATACAATGAGGGTTGTTGTTACAGAGGAGGAGTGGGAGAATTGTCTTGTAGAAGATAGACAGTCAGGCTTTGAACATCCAAAACTTACAGCAAAGATAACACCAAAAACTTTGTGTACTTTCCTCTTTTTCTGTTCAAAGTTAGGAATCTTATCCTGAAGTTTTAAATTATCATCTTTTGCCTTAGCTCATATACTTAATAGTTTAAACATGGCAAAGGAAATTCTGCTGTATTTTGGATTTGCTCTTGTATGATAGACGTTTAAATGACGTGGTCATAGGATTTTTCCAACACTGTTGCTTGTTCTTTCTGTCTCATACAGATTTAAGAAGGCTCTAAAGGTTGACTTGTACTTGCATATGGTGTAAAAAACCCTGAATTTTGCTTTCAAGTGTATGGAATTTCAGCTGAAACACATTCAGTGGACAATAGCTATGTTTTAAACTTAAGATAAAAATAAAACGTGAAAGTCCTGTGTTGCATGAAGCTCCCCTTGCATATGATCACTGTCATAAATGAGGGACCTTCTGGCAGAGCAGAAGGTCTGCCATCTTACTCTACAGGCTCCTGGGTGGATACGTAATAGTTCAGAGCTCTTGTGTCTTGTGTACGACTTTATTTTGCCCCAAAGCACCTCTTCAAAGCCTCTCACCCTCGGCTTTTTTATGGTTCCAGTCTTTTCTGTAACCAAGACAGATTCTCTTTCTTTCCAGCTAGTTGAACATGCAGTTGCAACACTCTTTTGAATCAGAGGTGTCTGCTTTGAAGCCCTGAAAAGATCTCTTAACTCAGTGAACACAAAGCTTAGCCAGTCACGGCGTTTCTATCTGTAGCGTGTCAAAAAGTTTCCAAAGGCTTCACATCCACAACAGTTAAAGAAATGAAAGGGGGTGCTTGGAAAATTTCTCATTATCCCTGTACGCCTCAGTTCTTCTGGTCTGGGGTGACCTAAGTGAGTGGACACTGCCATCCCCTTGGGACTGGACCTTGCCGTATTTATCCAGCTTGGATTCATCCAGATAGGTCTCCCACACAGCCAGGCTGAAGCAGGAAAAGCAATGCCCCTGAAAACCAGCACTTGCGGTGATTCAGCTGCCACAAGCTGGAGCCCTCAGCGTGACACGAGTGGGCACGGCTCCCGGCGTGTCGGCGGTGTGTGCCGCTAATACCGGCTGAGGGGCTGAGCCCTGCTTTTGAGCTTTCATAGCTGTGCTTCTTCCATTTAAGGGAGAAAGTGTAACAGGCGCTGAACTCCAGATCCCAAGTCCAGTGGAAACGTAGCCAGCAGTAAGCAAGCACTGCCAGGGAGCTCTCGACATGAAGCACTACGATAGCAAAGGTCTTGAATGACTAAGATTCTTGAAAGCCTTGGTCAGTATCAGAGACAGTTTCCAACTGGGCAAAGTACAATATTTTCCCTCTGCTTTTTATGAATGGCTGGATAGGATTGTGCTGGAGTCAGAGTCCCCTGCGAAAGCCATTCATAAAAATAACAACAAAACAAAACAAACACACACAAAAAACTTTCTAGGTCCAGTCCGGAGCCACTGGGTGCCAGAGGCTGGGAAAACACGCTGGCAGCTCGAGCCCCGGCTATCACTGAAAGTATTCAATGGGCTTTCTGGTGGTCTGAAAAGTATGAAGTGCTGTGTAGAAGGGCAGCTGGTAGAATTACTGTGACACATACTAGGCAGAAAGCCAGAGCTGGCCTTGTTTCAGACATTGTCTTTCCTCTCATTGAAGTGTCAGGACCTAATTCATGGAAAATTTGGTGAGTTGGCAGCTCTTTCAGAAGATTTCATTGAGCTACAGTGTGTGAGAGTCACATGAATGCAGAGTGCGTGGCCAAAAATATATGGGGATTTCTGAGCAGGAGAAAACAGTCAGCCTCTAAGAATGTCTGCTGATTTCATGTGGTTTGGGAGTAAACACGTGTACAGGTGTAATCAGCAGGCAAAAAAAGAAGGCGGAAAAGCACTAGTGGCAGATTACTAAAGAGCTCAATGAGTTCTGTAGTTACGAGGTATTCCTTCGAAACAAATCATTCCTTTGTCTGAGGGCAGTAAATGTCCATTAATGAATTCAGGGCTTGCAATCCACCTGGAGAAGGCATCAGTAAAATGTGTGCCTTGGTAATAGCTTCTCCATTGCAAGCGAGTTTAACGGAAAAGAAAAGGGTCCACCCTGAAGTTAAAAGATGGACCCAGTCATCACATAGGTTTTTTTGTCATATTTATTTGAGAGCAGAACTTGGAGCCTGAGGCACAGATACAAAAATATAACAGCAATAGGATTCTGCTGAATTAGAAAAAGACTGAAAATAAACAAAGCATCTCTTGTTAAAATGGGATGCTTGTGGTGGGCAGTCTGAATTGAATCAGTTACATTTAATTTACACTTTCATTGATCCTTCCCACTGAAATATTGCTCTGAAAGGCCAGTTACACTAAACTGTTTATTCAGAAATATTCCAGTTATTTCCTACTACACTGTCATGAAAATTAGGTTTTTGGCCAATGCAGAGGGACAGCATGTTGGCTTCTGCCCAAGCGAGGCACTGAAATCGCGGCTGGGATTAGGAACAGGCAGGAAGGAAGGGCAGGAAGAAAATCATTGGGTGCAATTCATATACTTTGAAAACAGAAAGTCGGGCGGGGGGAGGCGGGAAGACAGCAGCTTTGCCCCACTGAAGTAAGAAAAGCCCTTTTGTGCTCTCGGTGTCAGGATTTCATTCTTTATGTGTAGTCTTATTGTTCTGTGCTGCTCCTAGCACCTACAAGGGTCGTCACATCACCTGGGTACTGGTGGTGTATTTTAAGTGCTCCTGTGTTAGTTCCTTAGTCAGTGCTCCTCCTCCTCCCTGGAGCAGGGATGAAGGGCACTGGCACCTTCCTGACTCATGTGGCGACCGTGTTTCCCATTCCTGGTTGGGAGCAGTCAGGAGGGAGACTTGCTGAGGAGCCCGTGGCTGTGCCGCCAGGTCCCATGTAGGCAGACAGACACAGCCTCCAGTTCTCCCTGCCACATGCCCAGCCAGCCCTGCAACGGGCATCCCTGAAATCATGGCTCACAAGAGTCAGCATAGTATCACCTTCATTCAGCTAGAGCTCTCAAACCAGAGCTTCTCAGGGCTGGAGCCTGGCTTTGGCAGGGATGGCTTTGGTCAAGTGGGAAGCCCTGGCTCAGGAATGGGGTTTTGTGTCCCTCACCTCTCTGCCTGAGCTGTGCTCCTGCCCATGGCTGGGAGGTGGCTAAAAGAGTGTGGAAATAAAGTGTACAGCACCAGTGGAGACAACAAAATCTATTTACAAAATTAGCTCAGATGTAACATGCTAAATTAGAATTCACCTTGCTTTTAATTATACAAATGTAACATATTCCTCTGCATCCACAGCAATCTGAACTACTTCAGAGCAAGGTCACATAGATAAGTATAGAAGAGGTTGGGTATGAGAGCTGGGTATGTTCCTCACTCCGTTTCTGAATGTGGGCTGTGTTTTATTTCTGTTGCTGAAAACATTTTTCTCAGCATCTGTGAAATCACTGTTAAGCAACCTCAGTGAATTTTGTTTCTCACCATGCTTTTGTTTTACTTTTCAGCCTCAACAAGTGGTTCAAAAGAAGCCTGCTCAGGTAAGACAAGCTAATTTAAATTCTTTAAACTACTTTAAATGAAATAATTCCTCAGTATTTAAACTGGTTTCCTTTACTGTAAAGAATGAAGGGAAATACATCAATCATAAGAGCTGGGGGACAGCTGCTGGCTTGATAGGCACAGCCACCAGAACAGTTCACGTAGTGGCCCTTGGGAATGAGAGGAGGAAGCAGTGAATGGTGCTTGCTCAGAAATGTCCTCTTTCTGTAGTGACCACCTTGCGATGATAATGCAGGCACACGCACACATACATGTGGTACAAGTCGGGCATGTGATAGGTGTCTCTGTGTGTCCTGAATATGGGTGACTGGGGACTGCTTACAGCAAGGAGGGGGGCACAGGCAGAAAACACTTCTTCCCACTAAGTCTAAAGGAGTCTCTAAATCCACGAAAGAAAACGGGCTGAACTTGGTAACTAGACTGGATCCATCGTAAAGACCAACACATTTGAACTTCTTTTGGGTGGTATTATTCTTCTGTAATACCTTGGACAAAGTGCAAGCTAGGGTGTCATGAAATTGGTCAATCGCTGCATTTACAGTCACCTCCATGTTCTTTCCCCAGCCCACCCCGCGTTAAAAAAAAAAAAAAAAACGACCCTAAACATCCTAACTCTGCCACTTTTTTACATATGCACCAACAGAGAAAAGGCTGTTGGCATGGGAGCAGGTCCATCCCTGCCCGGCAGAGTCCACACGCTGTGCTGCCGTACCTCGGTGAATATGAATGATTGCTAAGTTAAGAGCATAAAGAGTCCATTGCTTTTCTGGAAAGAAGTCTGCTTTCAGAAGGGAATAATACTTTCGTTCTTCCACCTTATGGTTTTAATACGTTGTTGTACAGTGTACATTATTGTAATGTCTGCTGTAATCTGAATTAGGAGCTGTTACATAAGAAAGAGAAAACATCCTAACTGTGAGTTGAAGGGGTGAAATGATGTAACTCTCAAAAGCATATGCAGGAATCAGGTTTCTACAAAAGAAATCAATACAGTCACAGCAATGATGAATCTGTGGCACTGGCAATAATATTAACGTCTCCGAAAGGCAGATAAAACATACAGGATGAATGCAGTAGTATTTTCAAGTGAGGCAAGTTTTTCAAGGAGAGGTAATGTCTTTTATTAGGCCAGCTTATGCAAGAAACGCAGCATCAGTCCCCAAGGACTTACCATCTATAACCTTCTAACTACACCACACAATTCAAAACACACCAAGTTGTTCTAATAAAAGATATTTCCTCTCCCCGGTCTCGCTTACATCCTTCAACTGTTACGGCCACAATCAGGCTATTCCTACTACGACATGGTAGTAAATCTGCTGGTGGGCACAAAGCCAGCCATCTCCTCCATGGCTTAAACCCTGCTGTGCATAGGAGGCCAAATGCAGGAGGCAAAGGCTCCAGGAGGCTGCTCGTGTCGCAGTTTCCTCTGGTACGTGGCAGAGCTCATCCCCACTGGAGCCAGTGGGATAAAGGGGTCTAGAGCTGGTGACTCTGCCCGCAGCGTAGCCTGGCAGAAGCCATTGCTGCTGATGGTACGTGTGGTGCCCTGAGCTCTCCGATCTCCCCGGGCACTTATTCCTGCGAGTGTTTTGTTTGTACAAGCCCTAGCACAAGAGAGGAAGACGTGGCTGGGACAGGGGCTGGGACGGGGTGTGGGAGGACAAAGAGGGGACCTGGGTCTCCATCTTTTGGTAGCAGAACAAAGTAATGACAGATTTAATTGATGGCAAAATGATGTAGGCGTTTGAATGGAAGCACCAGGTTTCCCTGTATGGATCTTCCTGTCCCATCTTCCCTGAAGTGGTTGCTCTGGTGGGGATGCCATAGGGTGTTTCAGCCAGCCAGATGCAGCTGCTGCTGCACAGTGTGTCGGCGGCATCTCCGTGGTCAGACACAGAGACAGAGAGAGAGAAAAGCAGGCCCTTTGACATTCCCATTAGTAATGGAAATGTTTGTGTAGAAAACGAGGAGGCATGGAAGAACGCGTGAAAGGAGAGAGAGGGCTTTTTAGAAGTCCCCAGTCATCACAACATGACTAGTGAAGTTACACTCTTTAAATTATTTGTGTGCCATGGCTTCACTCAGAGAACATTTCTTTTTTTTTTCATCCTTGGCCTGAGGGATGTTCAGTGAAATCATTGACATGTCTTTAACCCTTCCTGGTTTGAATAGGCCCTGCTCCCACACTTATGCTAGCATGCATTGCGGTTTTGCTGGGTGTGGGTGCGTGGCAGAGAACAAAAATTATCACTGTGGGCAAGCAGTCATGACAGCGCCTTCCTGAGGCTGAAGGAAGGAGGAGGTAAAACAGGGTAATTCCTGGGACGATCAGGAACTTCATGCTGCTGGGTTTCACTTAAGTCCGGTTGCCTTTCTCCGTTTTCTTTTTACACTACTGAATTTCCCTTTAAAGGAGGGAGGTTCAGACTCAGAATTAACAACAAGAACATGAGCTCATGCAGGCTTCCTAATCTGAGCTGTCTAAGGAAATAGTGATAAATTATATAAACATGGGGACTACATGGAAGTTCATGGAGGATAATGTAAATCTTACACTACATTCAGAGGAATCTCTTCCTTTTCCATCTGTTTCCTTCAAAATATCCTCCCAGATGGCTTTACCATGTGGCAGTCTGGATTAAGTTAGAAATGTGTCCTTTCTTCATCAGTGGGGACTGTAAGAGGTTACAGTCAAGAACTGTTGTGTGATGGTGAGCGCGTTACCCCAGCCTGCCTCAGTAAAAGTGGCAGAAACTCTTGGTCAGGTTTCACCCCTGAGTGCCGTGCCTTGAATTTTGGTGTGTTCACTCAAAGATTTCTATGAGCATTAGTTTGCATCACTGTTACTCTTGCTACTGTTGCTAGTACCTATGCCTCTTGGGTTTGTGTCAGTTTTAAAAGTATAGAAACAGCAAGACCAGATAAAATTCTCATTTTATGAATAACAGCTCTGTTCCCATCACTGTTTCCCAGATTTTAAGCATCGTGCAGGGCTCCGCCATGCTATAAATCTCTTCGTGGATATCTGCTCTCCAGTTTAGGGCCATACAGATGCCTATATAAACTTCTGCAGTATCTCCAAATATCCCCAGAGCTCTGAAGATTTACCATCACACAGACAGTAAATGCAACAGTAAAATCCGCTGGAAATCTATACACTCATATCATTAATATAAACCTTTAACTACTATGGTCTGTACACATCGTTGTGATGATCACTGACACATACTATCACACTTCCTTGGGGAAATGAGGAAAAGATAGCCAGCCTAACTGTGTGACACTGGTAAGTTTAGCACCCTCACATAAATTTGTGCCTACACCTCAAAACAAGGCGCTCCTTTGAAATCCACTCTGTCTCCAAAGAATGGACAGGCAGATCTTAGAATCATGATGTAGTAATATTCTTACTGAGGTGTGCAAATAAGCAGTCCCAATAGAAATAGAAATTTCTCCCATTTCCTCAGTTTTGAGCTATTTGTAGCAGCTGTAGCCTCAGCCATATGGGGGAGTTACACTCTTAAGCAATACAAAGGAAACAGATATTTTTAGGAAAACATCATGAAAGCTATCAAAGTTTTCTGGAAACAGAACATGTTTTATTTTTAACATTTCTGGAGAGAAGGAATACTGTGAGTGTAGAACAGCCCTTTGAAAATCTTCTTATAATCTCTTTGGGAGGTCTATTAAAATCTCAAATCTTTGCAAATCCTTTGTATCTGAGTCTGAAAGACAGCGTATCAGTCAGAAAGACAGTGTATCAGTCAGAAAAGTACACATAAAGTGTACATAGAGAAGTGTACACAAAAAAGTGTACAGAAAAAGTACACCAAAAATACACATCAAGAGTACTTTTCTACCTAATGCTAAATGCATTAGATGCTTTTAAAACCACGTCCAAAAAAATCAGATCCCAGCGAGCATAAAAGCTAAAAAGAAAAGTGTTATTTTGTATAGGAAAGAATATGCAGGTTCACTGTATTTTTTCTGTTTACTCATTTCTTAGTCTTGGTCTTAGTACAGTTATGCACGTTAATTAGTCATAATATAATACACCTTACAGCCTCAAGTTATGTGTTCCCCAGCTGCATCCATCACATATGCCTACTCAGTGTGGGACACTATAAAAGCTAAAAGCGTCAGACAGGCTCTGCAGCCCAGGAGCTGCGTTGATGATTCACACATTCATATGCTGCCCAAAAGCGGCAGACTTTGTGAGCAGAGCTGAGCCTGGGACCCGTGGTGGTTGTGTGGCAGGTCCGATGCATGGGGACACCGGGTGCACATGCTGCATCGCCTCTCTGTGCCGTGCAATAAATCTGCACTTCCACAATCTTTGGGCGTTCTGCGTACATGCTAGCCATCGCATATGGATTTATTTTTTTACCTTCTGGGAAATCCCAGAGAGAAATGTGGTAGAAATACTCCAGAGATCCACTTCAGCAGGTTGAAAAGAAGCTTCCAGTGTCAGAGACAGGATGGAAAATCCTTCGCACCCATGCAGATGCACATACACATCCGAGAGAGTGTGTGCCCCTGTCCAAGCCCACCCTGTGTCCTGCCAAGCCAGGAATATTGCAGCCTTACACAGCTGAGCCTTGGATGTAGAAACATTGAAAAACCTCTGCCCTTGGAGCTTGACCTGATGCCCTGGAGGTTTAATTGCTTTTTCCACTGCATCCAGCAAGCTGTGTTGTGTGTCATGTACTTTTTCTGTATTTACTGATACGGAGAGTCAGAAAGTTGTCAGATCCCAGAGGGACAAAACTTTATTTTCCAATGGTACATGGAATTTTATACTTCAGAGTAGGGTAACTGCATGCGTGTTACACACACCACTCCAGAACATCCTCTGAAAGACTGAGTTGCCATTCTTTTATTATTGTTATTTTTAAAGCAAATACTGAATGTTTTCCCAAAGACAGCGGTAGGGGACATCTTATATATGCTAGAGGCCCTTGGTACCATGTGCACA